GGGACAGGAAGTTGTACTCAGCCCACTCCGACCTCTTGCTGGGTTTGTGTGCCTCCTGCCTTCTGCCAGAGAAGAATGCTGCTCCCTGGGCACTGGGCTCTGTGTGGGCACTGCTGGCTTCCCCGTGCTGTCTGAGTCTAAGCCCCTGACTCCTCCTGATTCCCAGGAATCTCCAGGTGGCCTTTTGCAGCCAGTGGCTCTTGGTCCCACTGAAATGTGCTCCCTGCCATGTGCCAGCCTGGATGGGGTGCCTGTACATTTTAGTTCTTCCCACCAGTGTGCAGACTCAGGCCAGCTGTTAAGGCACCATCCTGCACTGTGCATAAAACCACCTTGTGGAGTGGTGAGGAAAGGCTGCCTCTAACCTTCCTATGCCCAAGTCTGAGTCCTTTAGTACACAGGCCTTCCACCCAGGACAGGAAGAATCGCCTTCGCACCCCTTTCCCGTTTCCCCTTCTCCTTCCCCTGCCCCTTCCCCAAGGTTCAGTGTAAAAAGAAAGGAGAGTCAAACCAGTCAAGCCCAGTCGTGTTATAAAGCGCCTAAGCCTTATCCTCATACCTGCCTCTCCCTTCCCTGAATCCATCACCTCCTGGGGGACTATGGGGGAGACCACATGTGCCCTCCTGAAGCTGACACAGATGGGGAGAGAACACACCTGGTGTGGGAAGCTGTATGGGACCCAGAGAATTCTAACTAGTCCCTTAGGCTCACAGTTACCAATCAGTAGGAGAAAATGCAAAAGGAAACTACTTAGGAATCAGTAATTGCTGTGTTCCCAGGAAATCCTCCTTAAGTATGGAGGCGAAGGAATGCTTTAAAGGAAACTAAGGACTCTAGCCCATATGCTCATGTCATGAATGAGGTGCCCAAGACTAAGAGAGTGGGGAATACAGGTCCAAGAATGTCTGCAGGATGACTGCCCTCACTAAGCTATGCTATTTTTCCTTCCATCTATGTTGAGGGTTTCCCTCTGTTTTATTATGAAAAATGTCAAACATAACAGCAAAGTTTTAATGTTTTTTTTCTGAGACAGTCTCGCTCTGTCGCCCAGGCTGGAGTGCAGTGGCACAATCTTGGCTCACTGTAACCTCTGCCTCCTGGGTCCAAGTGATTCTCCTGCCTCAGCCTCCCAAGTAGCTGGGCCTACAGGCGTGTGCCACCACGCCTGGCTAATTTTTGTAGTTTTAGTAGACACAGGGTTTCACCATGTTGGCCAGGCTGGTCTCCAACTTCTAACCGCAGATGATCTGCCCGCCTCAGCCTCCCAGAATGCTGGGATTACAGGCATGAGCCACTGTCCCTGGTGTACAGCAAAGTTGAAAGTGTTGTACAGAGAACACCCCTATTAAACAGCACACACACCACCTGGAGTCTGCAGTATACTAGACCCATTTATCCATCCTGCAACCCATCTCATTCTTCTGGTGCATTTCATAGTAAAATGCAAACACCAGTCAGCTTCCCTATTGGGGTTTTTAACTAAAGTAGTGCACAAACACTACAGAAGCACATAAAAGGATTTTTCTTCAAGTCCTCCTTTCCGCCACCCTGTGAAAGTGTGTGCCTCCTTCCAGACTTTGATCTGTGCCTACACACACATTTGAATATGCATGGTATTTAGTGCTTTCGAGCAGGGGGATCACGCCCATGTGTTCATCCACTGCTTGCCACATTTGGAGTCTGACGGGACAGATGCTCCAGCAGCGGACTCTGTGCCATTCCCCTTCTCAGTTTGTGTCACCCTTTCAGGTGGGCCCTCGGGCTAGCCAGGATGTTCTAGACAGAAAATGACCACAGGTTGTCCTGGTGACCAGGAAACTGAGAGTGACTTCTCTCACAACTCATGTGCCTGGGGACTTCAGGGTCCCTTGGGGTTCCTGGTGGGGGGGGACTTTGAGGAGTGGAAGCCATAGCCTTCTAGGTTATGAAGAATCTTCATTTTATGGGTTCTAGGCATTTGCCTTCCCACCAGAATAATCAGAGAACACAAAGAAACAGCAGTGGGAAAGCCCTCAAACCAGAGGGTCCCAGTCCCAGCCCACCATCTGCAAGCCCTCTCATGAGCAGGTATGTTACTTCCCCAGGCTTACGGATCCTCATTCGCAAAATGAGAATAACACCGGGTACCCTGCCCAGCTCGGAAGATGGTGAGGCTCAAAGGAAATCATGCACACGGACTCACAGTCTGTCCCTGGCAGTGTTCAGGAAAGTCAAGCTCCTTTAGTGATGGAGAAGGGATCCTGCCGCAAGCTCTACCTTCTGCACAGCAGAGACGCCGCTCTCCTGTTATTTCTCCTTTGGCTTAGAGAACATCTGGGTCGCCTTTTGTTCACGTCACCTCTTTCACCTGCCCTTCAAATATTCATGTCAGCCTGCGTTTGTCTTCTGCCTTCTTTGGATTTTGGTCTGAACTTTTTCCCTGGACTGCCTCTTTATCTCACATCCATGCCTGGCACCCATGTCTCTGTTCCAAACCTCAGCTGTAGGCTTCAGCAGCCTCCTGGAGGTCACCATCAGCTTGCCGGGCCTCCTTCCACCCAGCTCAGAATTGGTCCCTTCATTCTCATGCCTTCTTCCTGGACACCCTCCCGTAGTGCAGGCATCTGCTGTGGATCCCGCTGTCCCCATCGGCATGGACAGTGCCACTGCACACTCCTTGGTGTTGGCTCCAGGCACCACAGCAGAACACAAGGCTCCCTGTGCCCAGAATCTTGCGTCCCCACCCCAGCTTCATCCATCCTCAACCTTCTCTAAAGCCTTACCAGAACAGCCCCTGCCCTGATGAGGTATCTTTCTCCTTACTCTCGAACCTGGGCCTGTCCATCAGAGGACCTACTGGAAATCCCCATGCTGTGTCTTTTGGGTGCCTGTTCAGCTTCCCTGCTAGTGTATGAGCTGCTTGAATCCCAAGATCGTGGCTATTCACTGAGTCACCAGTACACAGAATGTCATAGGAACTTAATACAAACCACTGGGTTCCCACAGATACAAGTAGCTTCCTTCCATTCCTTCTTTGTGGGTTGGTGAGCGGGGTCTGTTTCTTTCTTTTTAAAAAATGAGATGAAATTCAGAATGTCATAGGAACTTAATAAAAACTACTGGGTTCCCACGGGTGCAAGTAGCTTCATTCCATTCCTTCTTTTTAGGATGGTGAGCAGGGTCTTTTTTGTTTCTTTCTTTTTAAAAATTGAGATCAAGGCCGGGCACAATGGCTCACACCTGTAATCCCAGCGCTTTGGGAGGCCGGGGCGGGCGGATCACAAGGTCAGGAGATTGAGACCATTCTGGCTAACATGATGAAATGCCATCTCTACTAAAAATGCAAAAAATTAGCTGGGCATGGTGGCACACACCTGTAGTCCCAATGATTCGGAAGGCTGAGGCAGGAGAATTGCTTGAAACTGGGAGGCGGAAGTTGCAGTGAGCCGAGATTGTGCCACTGCATTCCAGCCTGGGCGATGGGCAGAGCGAGACTCCGTCTCAAAA